GTGACAAATAGATTTAAGGAATTAGATCTATTTGTCACCTCTACTGTATATTCATCAGAGATATGATTTAGGTCATACCTGAGTGGCCTAGTGCTTTTCCCTACTTTCTTCAATTTAAGCCAAAATTTTGCAACCAGAAGCTCATGATCTGAGCCACAGTCAACTCCTGGTCTAGTTTTTACTGACTGTATAGAGCTTCTCCATCTTTGGCTGCAGAGCACTTAGTCAATCTGATTTCTGTGTTGACTGTCTGGTGATGTCCATGCGTAGAGTCATCTCTTGGGTTGTTGGAAAAGAGTGTTTGCTATGACCATCGTATTCTCTTGACAAAATTCTACCAGCCTGTGCCCTGCTTCATTTTGTACTCCAAGGCCAAACTTGCCTGTTATTCTGGTTATCTTTTGGCTTCCTACTTTAGCATTCCAATCCCCCATGATGATAAGGACATCATTTTTTGGTGTTAATTCTAGAAGGTGTTGTAGGCATTCATAGAACTGGTCAACTTCAGCCTCTTCAGCACCAGTGGTTGGGGCATAGGCTTGGACTACTGTGATGTTGAATGGTTTGCCTTGGATTCAAACTGAGATCATTCTGTCATTTTGGGGATTGTATCCCAGTACTGCTTTTCCTACTCTTTTATTGACGATGAAGGCTACTCCAGTTCTTCTGAGGGATTCTTGCCTGCAGTAGTATACCTGATGGTCATCTGAATTAAAATCACCCATTCCTGTCTATTTTAGTTCACTGATTCCTAAGATGTCGATGTTCAGTCTTGTCATCTCTTGTTTGACCACAACCAGCTTGCCTTGATTCATGGATCTTACATTCCAGGTTCCTATGGAGTATAGATCTTTGCAGCATCGGACTCTCCTTTCACCACCAGATACATCTGCAACTGAGTGTCCTTTCGGCTTTGACCCAGTCGCTTCATTCTTTCTGGCGCTACTAGCACTAGCCCTCTGCTCTTCCCCAGTAGCATATTGGACACCTCCCGACCTGAGGGACTCATCTTCCGGCATCATATCTTTTTGCCTTTTGGTACTGTCCATGGGGTTTTCATGGCAAAGATACTGGAGTGGGTTGCCATTTCCTTCCATATTATACCTTCTTCATTATTTTGTCACCAATAGCAGCTTCAGGTTGTTTCTCAGTGATTTCAGCTAGAGAAATGTCATGGGATGAATGTTTCATCAAAAGAAAAAACAGAAAATTTGTTTACAGATCCCTGGATTATGTCTAGTTTGATCCTTAAATAAATAGTAAAGAAAAAGAAGGCTACATGGATTTAGCAACTGCCTGCACATTTTGATTGGTTGGCAGTTAATATTACTGCATGATAATACAAATACATCTCAAAGGTACCATTACATGAAACTGCAGGACCCTGTTCAACTCAAAACCTGAATTCCATTCGGCGAAGCACTTGAATGCTATTTGCCAGCTTAAGACTAAGAAGGCAGAGGTGGTAAGACCAAAATTACCCCCAAACAACAGCATTTTTCAGCTTAAAGCCCTTATTGCCAGTAGCTAACAGGGATTTGTAGTACTTTGTACTTAGATTCTTGGGCAGGCTCAAGAAACTTTTCAGCCTCAGCAATGGTGCATTTTCTTACTGATGAAAGCCTCCATGGCATCTGTTTATAGAACAGACAAACCCTTCCACAGGATCCATTTTCTGAGTATATGCACAGCAGCCTCTCTTGATTCCTAATGTGCCCACCAAATTAGACACACGCATGGAGGATGCTGCTGTCAGTGGCTGCTCATAATGATGGCTCTCTGGTACTCCAATAGCAAAGCAGAATTGCTTCTGGGTACCATTCGCAGGGGAGCACAAGTGGGAGGGCATTACTGCGTTTATGTTCTGTTGTGGGCTTCCCATAGGGGTTTGGTTGTTGCATGTAGGAACACAATGTTGGGCTAGGCAATGCTTTGAATTGACACATCCCCACTCTTCCTGTTTTTGGCTTGGCTTCTCCCAAAGAACTCTAGGAATTCCATTTTGGAGAGGATGCTGAGAATGTTCACTGACAGATCCCTGGTGCCCCCTTCACTGGAATGGTCTGTTTTCCAGCTTTTCCAGGAAGAGACTCCTATGACTGTTAAACCAGTTTCTCTGGAGTGTAGATATATTGTAACTGAAGGGTTGAAATGGAAACCAGGTCTCTGCCACTGAACTGGCTCCCAGTATCACTTCTTTTGAAGCCAAGTGTTGCTTTAGTACATTGATAAAATCAATGCCAAAGCATGTAATGCACTGTTTGGTTTATTTCATAGGATAATTGTTTTATCATCAAGCCCATGGAGCACTGCCTGCTGTGTGTATGTGCAGTTCCTCGACCAGTAGAACTGCTAGTGAAGGATGACATCTTAATGGGGGATGATGGTGGATATGTAAACTTGTTTACCGTAACAAGTGAGGACTTTGGTCTAAAACAATCCAAATCGAAAAAGAAAACACAAATTATGGTTATAGATTCTAGGAGATTCAAAAGGTAAGTCTAGACACCTTTGGAATTCTCATTACTGAGACATAGAATTACAGTTTTATTTAGATCCTGCAATGGAAAGTTAATGTACTGCATAACAAAATGAGGAAATGAGCATTAGGTAGAACACTGGGCTAGGATTTCAAAGATACTGTTGATGCACAGCAAAACAGGTAAGACACGTTTTCAGGGGATATCCTGTTTTAGGTGAAAATCAGAATTGATATTAAGTTTGGCAAGTGGAACTACAAAAAAGTTGCCTGGTGGAGCCTTCTTGTTCAGGGTGTCAGCCATGCTTGTTGTTGTTGTTAGTCGCAAAATCGTGTCCGACCCATCGTGACCCCATGGACAACATTCCTCCAGGCCTTCCTGTCCTCCACCATCCCCCAGAGTCCACTCAAGCTCACGCCGACTGCTTCAGTGACTCCATCCAGCCACCTCATCCTCTGCCATCCCCTTCTTTTGCCGCCAATTGTTCCCGGCATTAGGCTCTTCTCCAGTGAGTCCTTCCTTCTCATTAGGTGGCCAAAGTATTTGAGTTTCACCTTCAGTATCTGGCCTTCTAAAGAGCAGTCAGAGTTGATCTCCTCTAAGACTGACCGGTTTGATCTCCTTGCAGTCTAAGGGACTCGCAGGAGTCTCCTCCAGCACCACAATTCAAAGGCCTCAATTCTTCAGCGCTCAGCCTTTCTTATGGTCCAACATTCACAGCCATGCATTGCAACTGGGAAAACCATAGCCTTGACTATACGTACTTTTGTCGGCAGGGTGATGTCTCTGCTTTTTAGTATGCATCCTAGAAACCATGCTTCTAAGATGCTCCTATCTGTATCACCTCTTCCCCTCTCACTGCAATTTTGCCTTTTGCTCTCTCTTATGAACCTGGCAATATTTGGGGCCACTGAGTCTGCTCAGACTTCATTAAGTTTATTTGGGTTCCCCCTCTTAGCTTTTTGTACTTCTTCAAACTAGGGTTGGTAAAACCAGCAATTTCTGAGCTTGCCCAATTTCTTCAAAATTTGCGTTTGGCTTGTACATGCTTTTATTTTTTTACCTGGGTATTTTCTTTTTGGCTCTTTTGAAAGGGAAAATTGTTTACTTTCTTCTGTTGATCAAAACATGAAAATGTGCATGAATGTGTATTATTAAAAATATGCATCTTTGAATATGCTCATACATTCAGGAGTTTGTGAACATTTTTGAAAAAGAGCTTTCCTGCTTGTAGTCACATTTGTAATTGCAACAGGGACATGATCTCACAAACTGGAAATGGAAATAGCATTGTTGAATATCCCCATTGCAAATCTTGAGATCTCTTATGGGTATAGATGGTGCTGCTTTGCCAAAATAAGAATCCACATTAGACAAAAAATACTCAAGTTGACCAGCATGTTAGCACTATGTGTGATCAACTAAATTGCTGCTATACCATACCTAGCTATTAGTATGTGTAATCCCCCCACTCAAGTGTTCCAAGCTAAGTAGGTGATTTTAGGATTAGAATTTTTTTAAATAATGCCAAATTTACATGAAGTAATTTAGTTAATCACACATATTGCTAACAAGCTGGACAACTTGACTTATTTTTTTAATGAGTGGGCAAGGTAACAACTCTATAGGAATGTGAAAAAGGAAATATCCCTGGTTAATAGTTTGTACATGGGCAGTGGTGAGGAATGGAATATATGCTCAAGAGCAATATCAAATAGATTTTTCTGTGCACCCTCAACTGAAATGATGTTTAAAATACCTAGTAAAGGAGAGGCAGCATGATTGCAAAAAGGAAAAGGACTGCAAAAAGTTCACATCATCTTCTATAGCAATAAAAGACACCATAGTAAAGCTAGTCCCTGTTTTCTAAGGAAGTAACTGTAACGCTAAATTACACAGAAGAGGAGCTTTCATTAAGATAGCACATGATATCTGGTACAGACGCAGATTGCACAAGTACTCAAGAAAAAAGTAGCCTATGGTATGTATGAAGGGATTTATTTAATGTTCTTTTCAACTTGCTTTTAAGGGCAAAGTTGTTAGTAATAGTAGTAATTGTTTACTAATTAAAATAGTAAACAATAGTAATTGTTTACTAATTAAAAGTGCAACAAAAACAAAGGTGACTGATACCTAGATCAATGGACTAAGAAATTATGGAAGAAGAAAAAAGTCAAAACTTTCCTGAAGAGCTGTAAAGAAGGGCTCTGATGAGCTCTTGAAAGAAACTGATCTCAAAGGTGTGGGGCCACCACTGAGAGAGCCCTGTTTCTTGTACTCATCTGCCTTGTTGCCCATGGCAGTGAGCAACTGACAATGGTCTCTGCTACAGATTTCAGAATTTAGGCAGGCTAATATGGCAAAAGATCATCCTTCATGTACCTTAGGCCCAGACCAATTAAGAACTGGTTTTAACATTTAACATCTTAAGTTGGGCTCAGAAACACACTGGCAGCTCATGTAACTGGCATAGTATTGGCATCACATGAGCAGGCTGTCCAGCACATACCAGTACCAAGGTGATGGTTATATTTTGGACCAGCTGAACTTTCCAAACTATTTTAAAGGCCGCTCCATGAATAGTACATTACAGTAGTCCAGTCTGGATGTCACCTGACCATATCGGGTAAGATCCTCCCTCTCCAGCTGGAGACATAACTGGTGTAGCAGCATAAGCTGGAAAAAATACCCCTGGCCATCACAGCCACCCGAACTTATTACGGAGATCAGGACCACCCCCATAGTCAGGGGACCTATTGCTGAAGACAGATGGGGTGTCAGTGTAGCTGATGTACACCAAGTTTTGAAGAAGTTTAACTCAGGTTTATCTGGCCAACATGTTAATGGTCTCCCAAGAGATTATTGGAGTTTCTCTTGCCTTTCCTGGTGTCCTACCGGCATGTCAAGCAAGGCCAAGCTCATTTCCTGTTATGTCGATATTCCTTTGAAATAACAGTTCTGTTTTACTCTTTGCAGTATTAAACGCAAGCTGCACAATGACTGGGTTGTAAAAGTAAAATACATTCCAGCCTTGAATTGTTTTGGATCCTGCTCTTTTGACAGTGTTCATTCTTTGGTTTTGGATGACCTGAAAAGACTAGAAGACAACATGTAAGTTGCTATTGCAAATAGGATTCCCATACAGATCCTCATATTTAAAGACTGGGTCCTTTTGGATATTTTAAAAGAGGTTTCATTTATGTGAGCCATGTTTTTTCTAAATCATAGTTCATTGAACATCCCATTCAAAATGAGTTACCTGTGGCCTGGCAAAGCCATTTTTAATGCAACTGACCATCTTACAAACTAGCTTCTAAAAGGCATAGTGTAGCCAACCATGCTAATTTCTTTCTTGGGAATCCTGGGCCTGCAGGCTAGATTTAGCCCAAAGCAGATCCCCCACCCAGTTGCCAGCTTCACTGCTGGCTGATCTTGGTCATACTTGTAAGAGAAGGAATTTTCTCCCCACACTGTAAGGAAGCTTTTATAAAAGCCTAATTGAAGCATGGGAATCCTTTGGCGGACTGGTCACTGCTGGGGCAGGAAGGCCTAACCCTTCCCCCAAAATTGTGTCCATCCCTCATTGCAAATGAGTTTTTTTAAAGGGGTTTAAACAACCTTCATTACTGCCAGTGAAGGCCTTTAAATGCCCCATTGCAGTAGGAGACCTCTGGAGGGGCTGGTGCTGGGGAAACAATGACTGCCTTTCCCTTCTCCAACAGGTAAATGCATTTTCCACCTTTTTGCCTGTCCCCCAAGAGCACCAGGCCCGAATATTCTAGTCCTACATTTCAGTAATGCAGCTAAATGAAATGACCTCTCACAGGTATATGCTGCACCCTTGTGAACCATAAGCCAAGTCTCCTGCTACTTTTAAGGAATGAAACAGCTGAGTAAGGCTGCCTTCAGATCCGCACCTCTCTGTCAAACAAAATTATAACCACCTCTGCCTTCTGCTGAGGCAACATGGAAAGTCTGTGGCCTGGCACTGCTCTCCCATATGGCTCCTTATGGCAAGGCCCCTAGCAGGAGGCAGGCAGAAGGTGGTTGAAGGTACAGGATGCAAATTGCTGTCCCAGCCATCTTGTATTGCCCCTGGAAGGGGCAGAAGCCTTCTTTCAACTCTGCAGACTTGCTACACAATGGTAGCTTCTTGGTAGAACTGTAAGTGGTGGAAGAGAAGTCCTTCATCTTTCCTCAGGGCGAGAAAGAGCAAAACTGAGATTAACATTTCTCTCCTCCCTGTTGCTACTCGCTTAGATTCTTCTGAGGAACACCAGTACAAGGAGAGAAGTCCAACTTTCAATGAGCTCTCCCACAAAATCATACAATTCTTATTAAGGTGGCTGCATGTATGACAGAATTTCAAACTCTGATTCAAAGTGTTCTGCTGTAGGGTCATATTCCCAATGCAGCTTCCCAGCTTGCAGGAATGGATACAGACTGGCGCCATTAGCATTTATATCCCAGCTTGATCAGCCATTTCTTTGTGATTGCAGACCTGTCCGAGATTTTTCTGTACCAAGAGGAGTGAATGCTTTTACCTATTGTGGAAAAGCCAATATTGTCGTTACTGGAGGTAAGTAAAATATGTTTGCTCTAGTAAGCAAATCTTCATATTCATTCACAATGTTTCTTGATTGCAAAATGGATCCCTGTTCTGTTGGTAACCATTCCTGTGCTTAACCTCAACTGGTATAATACATGTAAAGTCAAGTATGGCCAGGTGTTAGGGCCAAAGTACATGATATATGGGCAATCTAGGATTGCCTCCCAACTCAGATGTGACTCTTGGGTCAGCACCCAGTGACAGAGGCAGGATGATTCATTTTCACTTCATAGTGGTAACAGTAGCTGCCAACTTCTCAGCGCAACAAATCTATACAAGTTTTGAGTATAAGCGTACGTTTTTCTTCCACTGTTAATCCATTCAGTCCCCAGGTCATTGAAAGAGATCATAACAAATGTTCTGCTTGGTTTCTTCATCCCCTCACTCCTGGATGAGGCACAGTGTTAGCATTCCTGGCATTAATTGATAGAGCAAGTCTTTAGCTTGTAGAATTCAAAATGTGACCCAAAATATTCAGACACAATTTATTTCATAAGAGAATTGCCTTTTTTAAGCCAGTGAAGGGAATTAGAGGAATCAGGGTTACATCCATTGTCCAAAGGAAAACGTTTACAGGCTCACCACCTTTGGAGGGGTTGTGTCTTAGTGGAGATGATATGGAAGAGCTTTAATTATGCCTAACTTTCCATTCACAAGTTACCCACCACCTTGGTTTTGTTCCAGAAAATACCAGGGAGAAACTTCAGACTCTGGAATTCTGCTTCATTAGGAACTGCATGTTGTATGCAAATATGCTGTGACTTAATTAAAGGGAGGGTTTGGTTTGTTTTTGTTTTTGTTTTTGTTTTTTTTTGCATACAGGCAAATGCTTGCCTAACTGTCCTGCTAGCAGGTCCTTTTTCTTCAGAAAGATGTAGCTGCCACACCAGTCAAAGCTGGTAGAAGGCATCCTAGGTAGAAATGTTCTAATTATAATGATCATCATCATCATCATCATCATCATCATCATCTAAACATCCGTAAGCAGTACCTGTTTAAGAAGCACCCCAAAGGTGTGAACCTGCGTCTCCATCATAAGTGCAACATCTTAAACTTAGCTTTGATCTAAAGATCTTTCATGCAGAGATGACACATAGCAACAGCAAAGGAGACCCTCTCATATTTCTACCAAAATCCAGTTCAAATGCTTTCCCTTCACATTTACAGGAAGGTGAGTTAAAGCTCTTGGTCTCCCTATACAGTCCCACCTCAGACTGAATGGACATTCTCCTGAACTGCTGAGTTTCTGTCTCCCTGGGAGACTATAGCTCTGAAACAGAGAAATCCAGAACATCATCCCAAGTCCCAGACTGAAGGCCAAGACTTTGTCAAGATACCTAGCCAGGTTTCGGCATCACAGGGGGCCTCCACTTCTTTAGACATGGCCTGCTGCAGTTACAGAGCAGCTGTGGCACATCTGTGGCAGTTAACATACTTGGTTTCAACGATAGCTTTACTCTGTGTCGCTCAGGCAGCAAAGAAAAGGGGGAAATGTCTGGTGCTAGTGGAGCTAACTCAGTTACTGATAAATTCCTATTGATTAAGAGAATGTAAGATTGACATATTCAACATTTTCTTTCCCATGGAAAATCAACATCCCAGCAGTAATTCTTTATTAAAGTGCAGAGGTGTACATATTCATCATGCAACCAAAACAAGAACTTATAAAGAAATGAGTCAGCTGTTATAAGAAGGAATATACTGCACTAGAATTAATTGGTGGTGGTGTTGTTATTATTATCATTAATTGCTCTAGAATGTCCTTTGCTGTAATCATGCAGCACAGACAAAGAATTGTCAAGTGCTGCCAGTTAGTGGCATAATGGATTCTAAAATGTATTTGTGTTGTTGAAATAGCTTTTTAAAAGCAGTGTCTTTATAACCCAGTAGATTTTTGTTTGCAAATGAAAAATAAATTAAAATGCCTTTTAGTCATTTCACCCAGGCAGATTATGACAGCTGGGTAGAGAAAGGGAAACAGAGACATTATTCTTTCTGGCTCGTCCTTCATGTCAACAGAGTTCTTCAACTAATCTGTGCAATAAACGTTGCAGAGGTCTGACCACCTTTGACTACTTTGTTTTCTTTTAGAAACATAGAAACAGAGCAAGTCAGAGGGGACCTCCTGGGCCATTTAGTCTGACCCCCAGCTCCAGCCAGCTCTGCTAACAACATGCCTACCATGTGCATGTCTAGCCTATCCTTGAATACCCTCAATGAAGGGGCTTCAACCACCTCCTGTGGAAGCCCATTCCATACGCTCAGGGTCCTAACTGTCAAGAAGTACTTCCTGGCATCCAAATTGAGCCTTGGTTCCCTGAGCTTTGCTCCATTGGAGCATGCCCTGCCTTCCTCCGCAGGAGAGAACAGGTCTCTACCTATCTGTGTTGTACCAGCTCACGTACACATATGTCATCAACAGATCCCCTCAGAGCCTCATCGTCTCCAGGCTGAAAAGACCCAGTTCCCTCATACAGCTTTCCCTGCAATCTGGTCACCATCTTTGTGGCCCTACACTGCGCCGATTCCAACTTGGCTATATCCTTCCTGTAATGGGGAGCCCAGGACTGAACACAGTACGCCAGTCATAGGCGTACTAGAGTTGTATAGAGTGGCAGTAATACCTCTCTTGATCTAGAAGCCATGCTTCTGGCTATGCAACCACGGGTGGCATTCGCTCTCTTGACTGCTGTGTCACACTGCTGACTCATGTTTAGCCTGCAGTCAACCAGTACCCTGAGATCCCTTGCACAAGTGCTGCTCTCCAGCCACTTATGCCCTAACCTGTATTTATGACACCCATTCTTACGCCCCAAGTGCAAGAGCCTTCACTTATCTGCATTGAATGCCATCCTGTTGTCCCCTGCCCACTTGCATAGTCTGTCCAGATCTTTCTGGATCTGTAGTACCTGCTGCTCAGTTGTGGCCAGCACTCCCATTTTAGTATCATCTGCAAATTTGATCAGCAGACTGGTCACCCCCTCTTCCACGTCATTGATGAAAAGATTGAACAGGATCAGTTCCAGGACTGAGCTCTGGGGGACCCCGCTCATCACAGTAGTTTATTCTCTACTAATAGTTACCCTCTGCTTTGGTCCATCAACCTGCCCTGGTTCACTGGACAGTGCCATCGGTCTATCCCAAAACTCCTCAATTTCTCAACCAAGATATCATGCAGCACTTTGTCCAAGGCCTTGCTGAAATCCAGATGAACCGCATCCACCACATCCCCTCTGTTTGCCATCTTCAAACCTTGTCATAGAATTCCACAAGGTATGTCTGGCAGGACCTGTTTTTGTGGAAGCCGTGTTGCGTGGCTGCCAACCTCCCTTCCATATCTATGGTTACTACATCTCTCACTATTAGGAGCCTAACCATGGCCTTTTCTAGAATGGACATAAGGCTAACTAGCCTGTAATTCCCCATGTCCCCTTTACTACCCTATTTGAAAATTGGGACCACTGATGCCTCCCTCCAGTCCTCTGAAACCTCACCCATTCCCCACAAGTCCTCAAAAATGGAGGCCAACGGGTACAAGAGTACCCCCACCAACTCCTGAGTACCGTTGGGTGTAACCTGCCAGGGCCCAGCACCTTTGTAACATCCAGTGCCCTGAGGAGCTCCTCGTCTTCTAGGAGGTTGACTGTAATCTCTGCCCCTAACTCCCTGGCCTCATCTGGTGCCCCATGCAGATCTCCCCCATCCTGCTTTGGAGATAACACAGAGGCAAAATAATCACTTAGCATCTGTGCCTGTTCCTCACATCAGTCATTGAATCCCCTTCTTCCTTATTAAGTGGTCCCACCACCTCTATCCTCTTCCTCTTGCTATTTATATGGTGATAGAGAAGCCCTGATATTCTTTGCAAGTCTCAGCTCATAATCAGCCTTAGGTTTGTGAAGAATCCTTCTGCAATGGGCTTCCTTCTCCCAGTATACACTTCTGTCTACTTGCCCCAGTGCCCATTTCCTGTGGAGGATTTATACATCAGCTAGCTCAAATTCTAAGTTGAGAAACTAGTTCAACCTAACCTTGAATTTCCCAAACCAGCTGCATGACACACATGGCTTCTTAAATGCAGGGAATCATGCAATTGCTTTTGAATTTTCTGCTCATACATGACTAGACCTGAATATCACACTATTATTTTGTGCTTGCTGGACAACTGTTTCCATATGCCATCAAGGAAAGTTTCCAGAATCACAGCTAGTTAAACTGATCTAAATGGAAAAGATGCAAAAAGTAAACCTTGGAGCTCAGAGATAAAGTTTAAAGGACTATAGCCAGTTAGCAAGTTTTTCTTCCAAACAACATGGCAACTTCCTTACTCCTAGAATAGAAAGAAAGTTGTAGAAAAGGAATCTGACCTTGTAAAAGAGACTGGCATTGTGCCAGATAATTTTGGTTCTTCTTCTGTTCTCTTTCTTTTACAGCACTTTATAAGATTGGGAAGACGCAAAAACCAACAGCAGGGAGCTGTGCAGAATCCCTGTGTTTGCTTTTCAAGCCTTGTGCTGTAATTGGCTTCTGAAACAAACAGCTGGGAATGGAACATAGTCCCTCACCTAATTCTTCATGAAAGGCTAAAACAGGCAAAGCTGCCTGAACCAAGAGCTACAAAATATCTTGGATGTTGCAATGTAAATATTTCAGTTAATCACCTACCCACTGCCTAAAGTGGACCTGGGCATTGTACAGCCTGCGGCCCGATGGCTGACCCTGACTGTCCCGCATGAGGTCACTGGCAAATTAAAAGTCAATGCAAATATATATCGTTGTAATATAGATGCAAGCAATACAACTGCACTGCTTTTATTTTGAAGGATCTGCTAAATTGAATTTATTGCTTTTCATGTAATGTTAATGTTTTTGTGAATATTCATTAAATAGTGTTGTTCTGTGCTCCACATTTTCTTTGTATTATTGTAATGTTTCATTTACTGTTTTTATAGAGATATATATTGAGCAGAGCTGTAAGTGTATTGGTCCGGCCCTTAACAACTGTCAAAGTTTCTCATGTGGCCCCATAGGAAAATTAAGTGCCCACCCCTGGCCTAAAGTAACCAGGGACAAGGCATTACCTCAAGCAAGGTATATGTTCTTTCTTGACATTCTGTGCCATTTTTTTAAAAACACAGGCTCAGTTGGCCCTGATTGGGGGTTAGGAGCAGAGCACGCCTCCTTCCCGTCATATGGCTTGTCCATTCACTGGCAGAGGGGAGGGAGTAGGGAAGAAGTGAGCCTGTCTTCCTTCGGGAGAGAGGAAATTTCCATGATGGATATGACTGATGTGCCTCAAGCCACAAGCCCATGCATGTCCAGACAGAAAGAAGGTCTGCAGTTCTCAGCTTCATGGAAACTAGCCCTTTTTCCTATCTAAATAGATATAGAATTGCACCTTTAATGCCACAACAACCTTGCAAGGCATGTGACTGTGCTGGTTACATGGGCATTCCTATGAGAAAGGTGTTTAACGTATACATTATTCCTGCTGATACAACTACAGGAATGTACATTCCTGTAGTTGTATCAGCA